CATACTCTTGGAAGTAGGCTTCCACTCCAGTGTTAAATTTACGATTCTAACGCCAACACGCGGTTGGCAGAATAGGAAATTTTACCATTGTAAGGTAAGCTCTCACCTGCCTCCCTGAATACGCGATAGCTGATATTAAAACCAGCCATGCTAATTCTAAGCAGGTGATAGGCTCGAGTAGTTTATGTTATCCTAAGATACCAAGGCAAAGTAGGCCAAAAATGGGGGGGGGGGAAATAATAATAATATTAACTTAGCTATGTAATAGCTATTACAAAGAACTTTATCACTCGAAAAATTAAGGCTGGCATAGAAGATTGTGGCTATTAATGTTAAATACTAAAAGATGTATCAGCTTGGAGTGATTATCACTTTTCAATGAATCTAGATAGAGCAAATGAGATATGCAGTGAAGTATTATGGACCAACTGTTGTTTTGTTAATAGATCTTTTAATGTTCTAACAATGATGGGTCATTCCTGTCCTGTCACAAAATGAGTTAGAATCAAAGTATCAAATTAAAATTGATTTTCTTCTGTACAATGCGATTCGACATTACGTCACAATGACTTGGAGAATTAATCTCAAAGAAAATCTGGGATTAGAAAATGAATGCTTTGATATTTATAGGTATGAATCTGTCTTTGAATGTAAAAAAAAACCTGTAATAACGTGTATCCACCCGATTCCACCTAATAGATCTGTTAAGTATCAGAAACTGATCACTTAGATAGAATCGGCTGGCCAATCAATCCATTGTAGAACATTGGTACTGATATCAATGAAACAGAACAAAAATGGTCCGATATGGGTATATGGACGTAGGAAAAATATTTTGTCTACTTCACAAACTGCCAAAGTGATAATAAAATTAATGTTTTCCAGTTTAAATTTATGCATAAAATCGTTTTTCACAAATGTAAAATTGTTTGAGATTGGTCTAGTCTGAATTTATGTTCTTTCTGTAATAAGGACAAAGACCACCTTTTGCATAATATGTTTGTTGAGTGTAGAATCGATCTTCCTTCGTGGAGAACATTTAATATTTCATCTTAAATTAAAGTAACATAATAATTAATTTAGACAAAAAAGTATTTGCCTTGGAGGCCCTGATTTACCACAAATCGTTAACTCTTTTATATCGTCCACAAATTTTATCTATACCTGTATTTGTAAATAAGAAAATGTAACACTCAGGGACCTAAAACTTTAGACTAGAGAAGTATAAGGACACACTCGGAATGTTGAATTTCCCTACTGTATTATAATCTCACTGGCATGATTTTTTTTCTTTGTATAATTGTTTTGTATTATATTTTAATGTCTATTAATTATTAAGGACTTATTGTTTCGCTATTATTATTATTATTATTATTATTATTATTATTATTATTATTATTATTATTATTAATTATTATTATTATTATTATTATTATTATTATTATTATTATTATTATAGATGAAAAAGTTTCACCCATAAGCATTAAATAGAATATTTTGTAAATAGCATTCAGTTTTCCATATTTTTTGTGTTTGGTAATTGTTTGTACACCACAATATGCAGTCTTTTAACGCCACATATGTCAATGGCTGCCGAATGTCTGAATCAGACGGCTACAAGTACCAGTACCAGTACTAGTATCATTATGTTTACTTTTTCTGTTCACTGTAATCCCTGTATTATACAAAGAACAAATTTAAAAAATATTATTATTGTTATTATTATTATTATTATTAATACAAGATAGAGCACTCGCATTGTAAAAACATATTGGGCAAGTATTCATACTACTTAATAC